TAGATAAGTTCACGAGGTGAGAAAGTATACTATACGGAAATGCCACGAACACAAAAATGTTATGGAAATCGAATACAATTGGCTTAAGCGAGGTGTGCATGTTAATGGAATAGAGTACAGGTAGATATTTATACGAGAAAGAAAAGCATTAAGGCAAAATTGAAAATCCACCACCTGAAATAAAGAGACTTAGCATGCAAGCACGCGGTTAGTAAAAAGTATGCAGCGTAGCTACAGACGCTGCGCCGGTTTTGAATACTTCTCTGCAGGACCCGTCGTCGCTTCTATAGTGGTCCCGAGTGGCCTCGCTCATGGCTCACTAGACACTAGATATTTATAGGAGAAAGAAAGGCATTAGGACAAAATTGAAAACCCACCACCTGAAATAAAGAGACTTATCATGCAAGCACGCGGTTAGTAAATCGAATGCAGCGTACCTACAAACGCTGCGCCGGCTCTGCCTATGTTCTCTGCAGAACCCGTCGTCGCTTCGGTAGTAGTCTCGAGTGGCCTCGCTCATGGCTCACTAAGCCTGCCTGACTAAAGCACTCGCGACCGCATGTTCTACAGCACAATGCGCTTGATGTCGATGGAGTACAATTCATCGGTGCTTGCCGCTTCCGCACTCGCCGCCTCTTCTCTGCATGCATGAGGGCTATCTCATGCACTTCAGCAACTGCCTTCGTGATTAGATCGCGCCATGCAACACGATCAACCGCCTTCGATTCCCATGATCTGCAATCAAGGTTGGAACGTGTGAGGCTCACTTTAATCATCCCCTGGTAACGAAGCTTCGGTTTCAGCACACGCCGCTTCCCAATACTCAGCTGACCGTATAAGAGTTGTTTCGGTATCCGCGTCGAATCCATACGGCTCACATGACCGAGCCATCTCAGGTGTCTCGATAAAAGTATGCAGTCCATTGCATACACCCCAATTCGGCACAAAACTTCCGTGTCAGCAACTCTGTCGCCCCAGCCGATGCGCAAAATTCGTCGCAAACACTGCTGATGGAACCGCTCGAGATATCGCATATCCCGACGGTACATCGTCCACTTTTCACTGCCATATAGAAGAACGGACAGTACCATGGATTTGAACACCATCAGCTTCGTGCCAATGCTAAGCTGATGGTTGTTCCACACTCGGTACTCAAGCTTCCCGAATGCCGCCGCTGTCTTCGACACGCGGATACGCAGCTCACTGTGTAGCTGCTGGTCAGTCGACATCACACTCCCAAGGTAGCAGAAGCAGGAAGTGGTTTCCAATACTTCGACACCAATGCTGATTCGCGGCAATATTGAAGATTGCACCTCCGGTGAAGGCTGAAAGAGACAGACAGTTTTGCTTGTGTTGATGGTGAGCCCGAATTTGGCCGCTGTCGAAGCCAGAGCACTAGTCATGTGCTGCAACTCATCCGCGCTGTGTGAAAACAATGCACAGTCGTCAGCAAACAGCAACATACGGATAGTTGTCTCACAGACTAGGGTTCTCGCACCGAAACGACGGATGTTCAGCAACCCACCATCAATACGGTGCTCCACACGAACACCGTAAGCACAAGCGGCATCAAAAGCACAAGACAACATTGCATGAAGACATATATTAAACAGGGCAGGAGCTAAGATACAGCCTTGCTTCACACCAGAGACAACTGCAAAGTCATCCGAGGTCTCTCCACTCAGCTGCACCCTCGCTCGCATACCGCTGTGCAGACATTCAATTAAACTTACAAACGTACGCGGACAACCAAACTTACCCAACACCAGCCACAATTCATCGCGGTTCACCGTAACAAATACCTTGGTGAAAGCAACAAAAAGCGAGTACAACGGCTGGTGTCGTTCTCTGCAATTCTCCTGCAACTGACGAACCGCAAAAACTATATCTATGGGGCTGCGACCCGAACGGAATCCACACTGCTCTTCCACCACGTTAGGTTCCACAACCTGACTGACGAGGCGGTTGAGCAGGATTCGGGCAATCACCTTGCCAACACAACTCAGCAAGTTGATGCCACGATAATTTGTGCAACATTACTTGCTCCCTTTGCCCTTGTATAGTGGTAGCACAAGGGCATCCTTCAGCTCAGGAGGCACCTCCTCCTCAATCCATACGCGTTGTACCAAGTGTTGCAGCGCAGTCAACAACGCGAGTCCGCAGTGTTTCAATACTTCAGGCGGGATCCCGTCGCCTCCGGCACACTTACCATTTCGCAGCTGAGCAAGTGCTCTCTGCGTCTCATCCAGTGTCGGCATATCCGCCAGATCCGCCTTCACATCGTGCTGCTTCAGGCAGTTCAATGTAGGCCAGTCGATCTCTGAACGGTTGTTCAAGTGACAGTCAATGTGTTGCCGCCAGATCTGCATTATGTCTGCAGTCTGTGTGCAGGTGGCGCCTGAACTACCATCGATCAGTGTCCTCAGCGGCTCCAATCTCGGTCCATACACTGCCTCCAAGAAGTCAAAGAATTCCTTGTGTTGGCGGCGTTCGGCGTAGCATTCCATCTGCTTCGCCTTCTCCGTCCACCTTGCGTTTTTTTATGCGACGGAGCTCTCGGGTCAGTCGATGTCGAAGTTTGCGAAACTGACTGCTCTTCCCCAAGTCACTGGGGTCTGCCACATGTGCAGCAAATGCTGCATTCTTCTCCGACACCAATGCGCCGATCGTCGCATTGTTCTCATCAAACCAATCAGGCCGCTTACAGTTTGCGCGCCCGATGGTCTCCTCAGCAGCAGCTGTCATCTGTTCGCGAATGTGATGCCACAGCTCGCCTACTGTGGCTATGCAGTTCACATCACACAGGCGTGCAGCCATCGCCTTCTCCAGCTCAGTACGTTTCGACACAGTACCGAGGGAGAGAATGTTAACTTTACGCCGATTCACGGCGGGAGTGCAATACATTGATTTGCGAAAATATATGTACTGTTTGGTCCGCACCAACTTGTGATCAATTCCACACTCAGCTCCACGCATTACACGTGTCATGCGCACTTCACGCATATCACGCTGACGTACGATGACATAGTCGAGCAGGTGAGCGTGACCACTCCGTGGGTGCGTCCAAGTTGCTATATCACTCGCACTCAGTGCAAGCCGAGTGTTCGTGATCGTCAGGCCGTGAGTGGCACACAGTGAGAGCAGCCTGTCACCTTTCGCATTCGCTGAACCAATGCCATGCGCACCGATAACATCTGTCCACACCGATGCATCACACCCAAGGCGCGCGTTGAAATCACCCAGCAGCAGAAATAGTCGGTCGCTGCTCGGCACAGACCGTATCACGGAGGATAGCTGAGTGTAGAATTGATCACGCGTGTCATCAGGATAACACATGGTCGGACCGTACGTGCTTATAAAGGTAGCAAACTTACCTCTTCCGAGTCGTAGGCGAACAGTCATCAGTCGCGCGCTGATGCCCGTTGGTCCAACTACCAGCTGGCCATGGATGCGATTGGATATTGCAAATCTGACCCCATGTTCACGTGGTGCTGAGGCGGCGTTGCCCACCCAGTAGAATGTGTAGCCAGCACCTGTTTCATGCAACTTACCTTGCTCAGCGAGCCGAGTTTCACTGAGCGCCGCAATATCGATGTGGTAGCGCGCCAGTTCCATGGCGACCAGTGCAGTGCGTTGCATTGCGGGTTGCCCAAGCCGAGTTAGGGAGTTATGCTAGTGGACACCACCTCTTTGCCCTTGGCTGACCAGCCTACCGGCAAGGCAGCGGGGCGAATTCAGGGAATCATGCCCATTGGGATTCGGGGACCGATTACTTAGTTCATCCGCCTTTGGTTTGGACGCTTACCAAATAGGGGCCCGATTCTCCCCCCATTTTCAACCCCGGATTGCTGTAAAACAATGACTCACTAGAGTGAATCAAAGCAAGATTGACTGTATTTGGTACGCGAAAACGCCAGACTATAGGTGCACTATTGGTTTTGATTATTAAGCTTCAGATCATTACAACCAGATAGGGGTAAAATAAACAAAATGGACCTGTTGGCTGAAAGTACACAGTTCGTTTGCGGTTCAGCTCGATTGCATAGCATCGAGCTTGATCTGTAGCAGTTAACCTCGTCAGCATCGTCCGTTCTCGCTGGCCATGGAAGCTGAAGAAGCTGGCTCAACTTCTTTAGCCAATGGGTCAATTTTATTTTATTTTTACCCCTACATATGAGTGTAATGCTCTGAAGATGAATCACCGAAACCAATTGTTCATATATGGTTTTGTGTTTCTGTATTCTAATTGAGAACTTTCAAGTTGTTCAAACTTCATTTAGCGTCGAGTCCTAGTAACCAAGTCACAGTGTTGTTAAGCAGAGACGTGTGGCTTTTTATAGGGAGAACGCTTGCCGGGAGAAAACCCACCATATCCTGGAACATTGCTGCCGAACCATCACAACAATCGGATAATCCCGAACCACCCAGCTGGCTCCTCGAGGAGGTTATTCGGCAAGTTACCTTAAGGGTAGGCTTTTGTCGATGACTGCAGTTGGTGTCCACTAAGTTATCTCTCTGTTCCGGATTGGGTGACCGGATGATATTATGCCTTCTGAAAAAACACTGCTTTTACAACTACAACCATGTTACTCTCTTTTGCTGCTGCGTACTGCATGTTCATAACCCTACACGTTTTTTACATGATAATTCTCGAACCTTTCATTCTAATCAACATGCCGGTCTCACAGATGCTCAAAAAGTCCGACCAGTGACTCCCCGCTTCGAGCCCGTGCATCCTCGCATATTCTTCTCACTCTCTGTCAACAACGGATGGGAGTTTGTTTCCAACCTCTTTGTACATAGATGGCGAAGTTGGTAGGTAACTCACCGGAAATTACTTATCTGTTTTGCGTTCCACCGCGTTAACTCGTCGGCTGTTTTGCACTTCAGAACTGCTGAGATTACCCTGTGCATTTGTTGAGATACATGCACTTTAAAGTCAAAGTCAACGTGTTTGGGGTTTGCGTTTCTTCAGTTGTTCTTCTTGAATTTCAGAACAAATGTACCCCGGGGATTTGGATTCAATTGAGTTAGAAGACATACTCATCTCTGACGACACATTCCTAAGCTATTTTAATGCCTACTTGGCTCTACCAGTAAGATTGGAGTCGTTATCCAATACCACTTTCATTCGAGATATTCTCCCGGAAAGTGTACTACAATCGCTTAGCCGGAGTTTTCACTGTTTTAAACGACGAGCTGAAGCCGTTGGATGATAAATCGATCCCATCTTACGGCGCAACTGATGAGGAGCGGATGAGCATGCTCAATTGGGCGCTTCATGAGCGTTTTCGATTCTTTAAAAAGTTTGTGGACTCTTGAATTTTCACCTTGGCTATTCACAGAAGTGTGTTTTACAGGGAATACACATTGTGCAAGCTCTTGTCTCGTCCCAATGTACATCCTCCACCACGCGAACAGCTTTCCGAATTATTCGCTACTGGACTGTTTAAGTCGAACAACACCAGTGTAGCCCGAGGACTGACGGGTGTAAGCCGCCACTCAAACTCTTCCGAAGATGATCGGTTCCTTGAGACGGAGAACGAATACTTTGGTGCTAATGGTGAAGTTGAAGACAACGATAGTCGCAGTAACGGCAGAAGCGAGGAAAATGAGAATTCCGACCTGGTTTCATATGACAAGTTTTCACAGAACGTTACCAGGAAATGTAATGCGATGTCAGACTCTTCTTCGTCCGTCGAGGGCATGGAAAATCCCTCACAGGTGAGGCGTTGTACGTTAACAGATTTGCATGTTCCTTTATTTGTTGTACCACAAAAACGAGCAGGCTCAGGCTATGCTTTATGTAGATGGTTGCCTTAAACTGAATGTTTTTTACTTAACCAGGTGGGTTTATGCCCTTAACGTTTCGCTTTTGTAGCAAAATGTCTCTTCTGTTAACTGTAACAACTTCAGCTACCCAGCTGAAAAAGCAAGTAATCAGCCAGATGGATGTTAGTTGTTGCTGACTCGCAGCACTGCGCACTGTACGACCTGTGTCGTACTCGTTTGCACTCCTCGGCTGGAGATAGCAGGACTGCCACTAGAGGCCGGGTACTGTACTCCTGTCGGGCAACACTTGACATTCATCTGCTTCAGACATGGTCGTAATGAGCGAACTGACCGAGGTTCACTCCGCGGTCCACACTGTTATGTGCCGCCATCTATTCTCTTGACGGCTACTTCAAGCAGACTCACATAACACACGTCTAGGCAGTTAGCTCACTGCAGTATCACAAATCTTGTATAATATACTACAAGTACGCATTAAGACAGATATAAATGTATCTATACACTTACTTTTGTTACTATTAATTTGCTTCTAATTTTCTTATTCCCCTATATAACCAGTTATCAATAGCAGTTTCAACTGGGTGTGCATCTCATCAGTTCGTAGCACTTAAATGGAATCGACTCGTTCCTTCTACGGATTCTTTCCCGCCATCGAGCCATGAACGCAGGCCAAGTACTACTCATTTTCTGTTCATACAGGATGTCTCGTAAATAAACACTCACGTTCATGCATTTGGCATTAATGGATTCAAGTTATTATGCAGCTAAATAAATGTTCATCTCAAGTGAAAAATATCCCGGGCGTAGGCACTAGAAACAAGAATTAGCGAGCAGGCTTCTTTTCGGTGAATATCATCAGGCTTCTAGACCACATCTAAGAACACCGATTTATCACGAGTTAAAGGGCAGGTGCTTGATTAATCCCGTAGGATGATTATGGTGAATACTAATAAAATCAAAATGTCTGTCAGTCATCTAATGAGCGTCTACAGAGTTAAATGCGTTAGTTTGAAATATAAATCGCATTCAAGTATACAGAAGAACACGGGTGCAGTGTGATTGTTGACGTAAAGCGTCAGAAAGGTAACTTATGGTTGCTCATGTACGAGCCACCTGCTCCTCCATCAATTCGGTAGATGGGCATGACTGATGTAATCCTCAAAAGCACAGTTTTGGTAACGAAATTCTGTGAAGTATGAGCCACATCCAATCATTTTTTGAAAATGTTCAAACTAGTGGAGGATACAACTGTTTCGGAGAGAGTTCCATAGTTGGCAAACCCGAAGGGGGAAATACTTATGTCGACACTCTTGATGGCTGTATTGCTCACATAGTTTTAGTCAATTTATGACGTTGGTGTTGTGGATAAGTTTCAGCAAATGGCAACATATGTGGTTGGTGATAGGAATAAAGTGAGCGAAGCACATCAGACAGCGGCAAAGTTCAAAAATCTATGTTATCTGAAGGAAAATGCTAGATGATTGGTACAGAGGCGGTCAAGGATTTGTAAATGGCATGTTCCCAAATATGGATCACTGTGGTAAGGAGCCTAGGTAGACAGAGAAACTGGACAAATCGCTTCTGCGCACACAAGTATGAGTTCTGCGGGCGGATAACAATCGCTTCGGCTGTTGCTAGTAAACGACACCTTACCGCTCTTGTGTGACGTCCAAGTACGCGGTAAATTGACAGGAAATACTGGCAGATGTTGATTTGGTGATCAGAACCAATCAACATGGCGCTGGTCACTGGTTTCGTCACATCACTGTCTGCTGACAGTCTCAGACGGTCTTCTGAACCAGCTACCTAACTTGATCATCCAGATAACTTAGACCTATGAACACTGCCATTGTCTGATGTATTTCGCTCACTTTATGCCCACAAATTGTGATGTATAAATCTGATAAAACCCACCGGAAACAAGTCACTTCACTAATTCCTGATTATCAAATCTCTATCTATACGTCACAGTGGCCTTTGCATGTACCGTACCTAACCCTGCGCTGCGATACGTACTGGATGCCATGGAGGCGGTCTGCAGCGTATGTCGTGTTAGGTCGGATCATCTGAATGCTTCACTGGAATCAGAGTGCCAGTACGGTCCCCACTGGTGGACCAGGAGATGCGGAGAAAGTTATCGGAATCCTTCTCAGTTATTTACGACTTCACGAGAACTTGGTAGGGATTTGATTGGTTCACATAAACATTCCTTACATACGGACACAGTCGGACAGTCCTCACGTGCCCGAAAAAGCACTGTGTGACTGTTTCATCCGTTCTGCAGCTGTCAGCATTGCGCATTCCATCTGTCTGCATTTACCAGTATTGAGAAACTGGGAACGGAAACGAATCATTTGACGATGAGATGAAACGACCGTACAGTGCATTTCCGAGTGTGTGATGACCGGCTGAGCGAGACTAGATATGACGGACTTCTACATACTCGCGAAGTATTTCTTGGAGATTTATTGCCAATATGCTGAGAGATACCGTTTATTAACTAAACTTTCCTCAATCTTTTTCAACAGGAACTTATATCGGAGCAAGAAGCTATTTCAGGAACCGAAATTCTGGGTGCGTTGTTCTACGACTAATCTTCCATCTGCTCCGAACCATTGCAAAGAAATGGGGACACGATACAACGTCTTGCGCATGTTTTTTTAAGTTAGAAGTCGGTGTTACCAGGGTGTACTAAGCCAATCGATTATTTTATGCTAAAAATTACATAACCAACGTAGGTTGAAAAGAGCCAGACTCATGGCAGACTTAAGAAGGATCGTTCCTGTATAGCTCTAGAACAGGCATCAATGAAAACTCCCTGGTGAGTACTCTCACGGAATGCTGTTAACCAAGGCATAAGCAATGACCGTAAATTCATGTATATGCATTGCATCCACACGAGTACTTGAATTGCGTCTAACCACTTAGTGCTTGCTACTTTGAACTAGTTCTTAAGGCCGGTGACACTGTTACTTTCGCCCCATTCCTAGACACATCAATAGGCGTCTGTGGATACGTCGTTACAATAGGAAGTAACAACCACTTTTTCCTCCATACCGAAAATAATTCAGAAACTGTTACAGAAGCCCACATTCCTCAAACCAACTTCGAAAGAAGCTAGGGAAAACGAAAGCATTCTGTTATTTTTTCACTAGTCTGTCTAACACGAAGAGTCAGGTTATAAAAACACCCCGCTGCGTGAGCATATTTGACATAAGTACTGCGCGGAAGTGAATCTGTTAAGCATACAAAATAGTAAAGTAACCGAGGAAACTGTCTTAAGTTATAGATGCTGGTGTTTTTTTCGTTACTTTATTGCATATAACCTTACACTTGCACAACTATAATTGGTCCCCTTTACTGCAATATGACCACCATGCCTTTTATGATGAAGATGGTTCTGTTCGTTAACCTAGTGACTTTATCCTGTTTTTGGTCAGCAGGCGGACCATCCAAGCGCAGCTTGGACTACGCAAAATATTTTATGATAAAGTAAGTCATTCAACTTTAATCCGGTTGACGCGTTGCAGCCTTCTTTTTTCCACTTTCCCATAGCAGCTGAGAAAGGCTTGCACTTAGTTGTGAACAGTAATGTGTCAGTCGTATGGATTCATCGTCGAAGAACATTTCATTATGCATAAAGTTACAAATGACCGAGTGAAAGTTTAGGACGAAGAGTGAAGTTGGACGGGTTAAGAAACCCTGCTTTACAAGTCCCATTGGGTGATTTGTTGATTACTGAAAAACAGTTAGGACTTTAAGTATGCGAAGAACTATTTAGGGTTTGTTATGCTGTAGTCCTGCAATCGCGTAATTACACAGCACCCACAGAAAACAGTAAATACATCTATAACATATTCCAGTAGGATAGATATATAATGCTGTGCCAAATTGTAACTGGCTGAGTACTCCATCCAATCATCTTTTAACTACTGTTTTTTGTCGGTGCAGGAACTACTGATTCGGGGAGAGCATTCCAAGGGTCACATACGCGAATGGAAAAGAAATTCATACGGTACTCCAGACGGCTGTACTATTATGCTAGTTTCAAGCGTGACATCTTATGTTTGTATTGCTACCGAGTTTCAGCAAGGAACGGCACACGTGGTTTGAATTGCGTGAGATCAAGTATGCCATTATCGAGTCGCCTAGCAATCGGCGATACCGCCCGCTCAGTATTCCCAAACACTTCAGTCTTCGCTCGTATGGGAGATTGCGCATTCAAATGACGTACTTGGATGCCCAACCTTGAGGCCGCTCCAGTGCATTACGGTCGTGTTTCAACCATGGATGTCAGGCTTGGATTGCGTATTCCACATGGGGGTGGACGTAGTTACTGTGCACTTGTCGGAAAATAGAGGTATCTTTTTGCCCGAATTCCCGCCATAACAAGCCAAAGTGTTGATTACCAGTTTTCCATGACTTTCCTGATTGCTTGGAGCAACCCAATTTATCCCGAATCTGCACGCCAAGATTGCAACGAGACTGGACGTTGAAATGTTGCAACGGTTCGCGTACCTCCTTGACCCATTGAGCTATACTGGGTGGTGCCTCCGGGCCCCTTGAGAGTTACGCCTATCAGGTTGGTCAACGGTGAAAGGTCAGACAAATTCAGTTTCCTGGTCCTCCAGGTTGGGGATTTGAAATGGGATGGCATCCGTTTCTGTAAAACTAAATCATTGACACTTCCTCGCTGCACTGCGAACAGGCTTTTGAGCCAAAGGCTTTGGTTGAGGACCCTAATCATCCTCATGTCTAAGTCTTGGCGCCCTGCAGTATCTCAGTCCACATACAACTATGACTTTTTTAAACGTAAACTTCATCCTGCATCGGACGTCACGCAGATTATCAAGGGCCGCCTTATCTGCTGTCTAAAGCAGAGCGGCTACTGCTGGCGCCTCCCTTCTTTCTTTTCCCCTTGTTCTTCTTACTCCCATCCCGACCCCTCATTACTAGCCTTCCTTCTGTAATTCCCAGCTTAATTGACAGCAACCGAAGTGACACTGGAATAGAACCATCTCCAACCACCATCCAACAACACCTATCGGACCCCAACGGCAACAGTCCCTTATATGGCCGCGTTGTCCCGCTTCCATTGCGGCGTTCAACGTGCGCACCTTAAGACAAATATGTCAACAGGCTACACTAGCAAACACCTTGGACACACTGGGTATTGATGTGTGTTATGTGTCCGAAACTAGGATCAATGACCCAAACGGGGTTGTTGAAGTAACTGAACCCGGCTTATCCTCTCGTTATTGGTTGCACGCATCCGGACACGCCGATGCAGCACTCATGGTTCAAGCTGGTGTAGGTATCATTCTAAGCCCCAAGACTGAGCCATCCTTGGTTGATTGGATTCCGGTGAACAGCGGTTTATGTGCAGCCCGTTTGACATCAGCTAAGGTTGATTCATGAAGTAATACAAAACGCTGTTTATTCTTGATTTCTGCTTATGCTCCCACCGACTGCAGTTCTAATGCAGTCAAGGACACTTTCTATCACGAACTGAATGCGCTACGACGCAGTGCTACTAGTTCAGATATTATAGTACTTGCAGGGGATATGAACGCACAAGCAGGGCGTCTGAGCTCTTCAGAAGGTCAGCTGGGTGGTAAGTATGGACTTAACGCCGAACGGACTGACAACGGCGAGCGTATGCTGCAACTGTGTGCGGAGCACCAGTTGTTTCTTAGTAGCACTGCTTTTAGACACAGTGGGCGCCGAAGTGCCACTTGGCGTCCACCTGTAGCTGGCCAGCGATGGACCCAAATTGACCACATAGCCATAAGTTACAGGTGGCACGGTTCCATTCTGGATTGCCACTCGTACTGGAGTACCTGTGTCAACCCTGACCATGCTTTGGTGCGCTGTCGTTTCTCCAGGAACTTTATCGGAAGGCACACAAAGCGTCTCCCCCGACTGGCAACTGAGAAATTGTCCCAGTCCTCTGTCAGGCAAGCCTATCAAGAAGCACTGCATAGCGAACTCTCGCTGTCTTTTCCTAATGACACTGAACTTCAGTGGAATAGGATATCGGCCTTTATGCACGACGCAGGAGCATCTGTTTGTGGCACTATCAGTCGTCATCGCACCAGTCACTGGATATCCGAGAGGTCGGTGAACCTTTTGGAAGCTAGAAGGCACCTCCCGGCTGGTTCTGAACACAATGTGCCCAGACGGGTTATTAGGCGAAGTAGCACAGAGCCTACGTGTTGACAAGGAAGCCTGGTGGACCAGTCGGGCTAAAGAAATGGAGGAGGCAGGAGCAGTAGGCAATTACCGGAAGCTCTTAGAGCTCATCCTCACCACTGGTCCCAGAAAACCAGGCGTCATTGAGATAATCAGAGACAGCGCTGTTGCGCTGATACACAATAAGGAGCGCCGTATGGCTCGTTCGGCGGAACACTTTCAAGATCAGTTCAGCTGGCCCCCTGCTCCCGGACCTCTTCCTACTCAGGTGATGCAGGACGAGCCATGGACGGTTAGTTTAGAGCCTCCGTCGGAGGCCGAGGTCCGAAACACGATCACATCGCTCAGTCGTTTTCGTGCCGCTGGCCCGGATTCCCTACCACCTGCACTATTTAAGGATGGAGGTGAGGTCCACTGCAAAGCACTGACCTCCCTATTCGAACGTATCTGGAACGAAGAGAGTGTCCCGGTTAATTGGAGCGAATCGATTATAGTGGCAATATACAAGAAGCGCAGTCGCACAGACTGTGCGAACCACAAGGGTATTAGCCAAACGCCAGTTGTAACAAAATTATTGGCCTCGGTTCTTGTTCATCGCCTAACTGCAGAACGGGAACCTAGGATTAGGGAAGAGCAGGCCTGTTTTCGCCCAGGACGTGGCTGTATAGACCGAATATTCACTGCGGCAGGTGCTAGAGCAGCGCCACGCATACCGCAGACCGACAATAGCTGTGTTCCTCGATTTCAAGAGTGCGTTCGATTCAGTCGATCGATCGATTCTGTTCGAATTACTTGCGCGAAAAGGTGTTCCCACGAAATCTGTGAACATCCTTCGTGCTCTATACTCGAACACTACAGGCCGCGTCACGGTCTACGGTGTCCTATCGGACTGCTTTGCGACCACAAGTGGCGTTCGACAGGGTTGCCCGATTTCCCCGTTTTTGTTCAATTTCGTCGTGGATTCTATCATGGAGTGTTCCCTTGCGGAATCTCACGATGTAGCCGTTGAAGTGCTGCCTGGTGAAAGGTTAGTTTATCTAGATTATGCGGACGATATCGTGTTGCTTTTCGACGATGTTGGGGCGGCACAATCAACCATGAATAGCCTATCCAGAGTGGTCCCATTATTTGGTATGCACTTCGCACCTTCAAAGTGCAAAGTGTTGCTGCAGGACCACCAGCCACTCGATGATCCCTTGACGCTTGCTAACGAGGAACTCGATGTGGTTGATCAATGTACTTATCTTGGCATCTGCATCAGCAATGATGGGCGCATAGAAACTGACGTGAGCTCACGCATTGCAAAAGCCAGAGCTGCCTTCTTGAACCTGCGTCATCTTTGGCGACAGAAGGGAGTTTCCCTCCGTCTGAAAGGCCGTGTATACAATGCCACAGTGAGGGCCGTTCTGCTCTATGGTAGTGAGACTTGGCCGCTTCGGTCTGAAGATCTGAGGCGCCTTCAAGTCTTTGATCATCGTTGTTTGCGGAGCATTGCTGGTGTCGGATGGCATTAGCGTGTCCGCGACGATGATGTTCGTAGGCGAGTACTAGGTGGTGATAATCATGCTAGCTCCCTAGAACAACAGATAGCACTGAACAAGTTGCGTTGGCTCGGGCACGTGCTACGTATGCCTGGTCACCGCTTACCCAGGAGGGCCTTGTTCAGTCTACCAGGTGTAGGATGGCGCAAGGCTCGAGGTGGACAGAAGTTGACTTGGCAGCGTGAAATGAAGTTATTGTCGACCAAACTGGGTGCCGTTGGTCCGTCTCGCCTTCCGGGTTGGAGTCCACGTGATTCACCTTGTGCTTGGCTCGAGACTTTACAGTACATGGCTCGCAACCGACACCAGTGGCGCGTCTGCTGCCGTCTCCTAATCGGATTATCTGTTTAAAGTGTGTTTGATGCTGAGCTATCTGCGGGGTAATGGCTGATTATGACGTGTGGCAGTGAAAGCCGCAAGGAAGCTGTATCACTGATACTACCTTATTATCTTTGCACGATAGCCAGCTGTTTGTGACGGTATGTAGTCTTCACAAGGTGTATGTGCCTTGACCCTGAATGTTTGCGTAGGGCATTAAGGTTTTCAGGTAAGTCCCCCTTCTCTCCCTCCTATGGTTCTTTATTCCTTAAATCATCATGGTTGTATAGCAGCTGAGCATCAGTTTAACTAGCTGATGTACTGCTGTTGTTTTAATCACAAAGACCTTGTGCATTGATATACAAACAGGTTAGGGCATCGGATGTAAGGACTGTGCACATGTGTACATAGGCCAAACAGCGATAGAATTACGCACACGAA